AAAAGGTTGAGAACCACTGTGTTAGAGAGTTTCCATGCCGTGTGTGTCTTCTTTAAAAATAAATGCTAACATCTCCGCTTTTTGAGCTGAAATCGTAAGAGTGGCTTAAAACTTCAAATTCCTGAAGGTGCAGCTATAAAGCGGAGTGTATATTGCCGTGGTCCTCGGCCAGCGTGAAATGATTCTTCCTGTCCTGCCCTTGCTCTTGTCTTTCCAGGTGTTTTGTTTTTTTTGGGGGGGGGGGAAGATGGATAATTATATGAAGCTCATTGGGCTTAACTGTAGAAAAATGCTTGAAAAAGACAGCCGATGGGATGAGGCAGCCAGGTGCATCTTAACTGTTTGGGACTTCACCAGCTCTACTCTGCAGGGGCCAATAACAAGGAATTGTGGGAGTTGTAGGCCAAAGTCCTCTCCAGATGCCTACCATTGATCAAGGCAAATCTGATAAATGTGCTGCTGAGAATTTTAGGCACATCTTTACCCTGTATGAAGAGAAGCTGAGGGTCCCTTCATCTCACCTGCTGCATTTCATGGCCTTCTTTTGATTAAGCTCTGATCGAAACGTTATATGGTTTAGTCCCAGCCTGCCTGCCTGCCTGCCTGCCTGCCTGCCTGCCTGCCTGCCTGCCTGCCTGCCTGCCTGCCTGCCTGCCTGCCTGCCTGCCTTCCTTCCTTCCTTCCTTCCTTCCTTCCTTCCTTCCTTCCTTCCTTCTTTACTTACTTACTTACTTACTTACTTACTTACTTACTTACTTACTTACTTACTTACTTAAAAGAAGAGAGAGGGTCAACCTATTCTCCACAGCATCTGAAGGCAGAACAAAGTAGCAATGGATGGAAAATAATCAAGGAGAGAAGCAACCTAAAACTAAGGAGAAATTTTCTTGTCAGTGAGAACAATTAATCAGTGGAACGACTTGCCTCTAGAAGTTGTGGCTGCTCCAACACTGGAGGTTTTAAAGGAAAGATTGAGCAACCATTTGTCTGAAATGGTATAGGGCAGGGGTGTCAAACTCACAACGTCACGTGACGTGTCGCGACGTATCGTGACTTTTTTCCCCCATTGTCGGCAATGGGGTGGGCACGGTTTTGGCATGACGCATCCGGCCCGTAGGCTGGCAGTTTGACACCCCTGGTATAGGGTCGCCTGCTTGATCAGGGGGGTTAGACTAGAAGACCTCCAGGGTTCCTTTGTTATTCTGTTATTAATTCACTACAGGTCACTCAGTATATGTGAGCTTTCTCTTTCACGGTCTTTTTGTACGCCCTCTTCCGTTCACTCCATTCCAGAAGTCAGCCAGGTTGAAAGGATGACTTCCCTTTTTATCTATTTATTTATTTTACAAAATTTATTGGGTGCCCATCTTACTTCAGGACAACTCTGGGTTTCCATTGTTTTCCTTATTTACAGGTGAGACAGATGTGATAGCTGTGGAAATACATCATTCGCTTTTCTTCTTGTCCAAAATCTGATTTTCTTCAGACGTTTGAGCTACCTCTCTCATATCCGGGAGGAAATTTGGCTGAGGGGTGCTTTCATATTAGCTCCCCTTGAGGCTTTTCAGGTTATAGTCCTTGACTTATGACCACAACTGAGCCTAACGTTTCTATTGCTAAGCGAGGCGTTTGTTAAATGTGTTTTGCCCCATTTTACGATCTTTCTTGCCACAGTCCTTACAGAATACGGAATAACAGAGTTGGAAGGGATCTTGGAGATCTTCTAGTCCACACACACACACACACACGCACACCCCGCTCGAGCAGGAGACCCTATATCATTCTTATCCTGTAGCACAGGGGTAGGCAACCTTGGCTCTTTTATGACACGTGGACTTCAACTCCCAGAATTCCTGAGCCAGCATGGCTCAGCTTGGAAACTTCTCCGTTTCCCCTCAGCATGGCTGGCTCAGGAATTCTGGGAGTTGAAGTCCACGACTCATAAAAGAGCCAAGGTTGCCTACCTTAGGCCTAGGCCGCTTTATGACTCGTGGACTTCAACTCCCAGAATTCCTGAGCCAGCATGGCTCAGCTTGGAAACCTCTCCCTTTCTCCTCAGCATGGCTGGCTCAGGAATTCTGGGAGTTGAAGTCCACGAGTCATAAAAGAGCCAAGGTGGCCTACCCCTGCTCTAGCGTTCCTTTTTTTTTTTACATTTTTTATCTCATTGTTTTATTATCTGACTTCTGTTTACATTCTTTTCTTTGTCCCAAAGGTGCCTTTTTCCAAAGGCAACTGGACTTTGTTTTTCCTTGAAGAGGTAACTTCGAATGCTCACTAAATGAACTGTTGTAAGTCAAGGACTGCCTGTATTTAATAATAATAATAATAATAATAATAATAATAATAATAATAATAATAATAATAAAAGTTGGAAGGGGCCTTGGAGGTCATCTAGTCCAACCCCCTGCTCAGGCAGAAAACCCTATACCATTTCGGACAAATGGCTGTCCAGTCTCTTCTTAAAAACTTCCAGTGTTGGAGCATTCACCGCTTCTGGAGGCAGGTTGTTCCACTGGTTAATTGTTCTCACTGTCAGGAAGTTTCTCCTTAGTTCTAGGTTGCTTCTCTCTTTGATGAGTTTCCAATTTAATTTGCTCTTGCCAGGATGAGAGCGGAGGGAGAAATTAAATATTTTTAAAAAACGCGTAATGAATGAATGGAATGGTTCAGCCGCAGCATTATACGGATCGACGGCTTGAACGGAATCGAGCTGAAATTGGGGCGGGAAGCTGATTTTTATCAGTTTAATTGCACGACTTCTCAGATTAAAATCAGGATGCCAACCAGACACCAGCCAGTGGAGAACAAGCTTGGAGAAAAGCTGTAACTGTATATATGTGATCTTCCCTACAAGTTTTTTTAGGTGGTTTCCACTAATCCGAAAAGCAGAATTTTACTTGTATTATTATGTGTACATTGGGGGCTGTGTAACTTACAGTAAGCCAATGTGGGGGGAAGTCTGGCTGGTTTCAAAGACTTGTTCTTTCCAGATCCTAAAGTCTTTCGAGAGATCAGGTTGCGTTTGAGATTGCCACGAGGGCAAGATTGGGTAGGTTGCTGGATCACAAGGCCCACCATCCCCAGCCAACGGGACCAGTGGATGAGAATGTGAGAGTTGCAGTCCAAAATTTCTGAAGGCACTGAGGAGGTTTCTGAAAAGGGTTAAGAGTTTCTGCACCCAGTTTGGTTTAATGGTTACGGCACCGTGAATTCTAGTCCCTAGGCATGAACGCCAGCTGGGCGACTTTGGGCCAGTTACTCTCAGCCCAACCTACCTCTCAGGATTGTTGTTGTTGTTGTGTGTGTGTGTGGGGGGGAGATATGTTTGTGGCCTTATTTGTAAAAATAATAACGGTGGGATGCAAATAAATGCATTCCCAAAGCTGCTTTCTCTTCTAGTGCTCTCAGTTTTCTCATAGTGATGAAGATAATGTAGTAGTAGTAGTAGTAGTAGTAGTAGTAGTAGTAGTAGTAGTAATAATAATAATAATAATAATAATAAAGTTGGAAGGGACCTTGGAGGTCATCTAGTCCAACCCCCTGCTCAGGCAGGAAACCCTATACCAGTGATGGCGAACCTTTTAGAGACCGTGTGTCAAACTGCAACCCAAAACCCACTTATGCATCGTCAGGTACCGGATGGGTGTGGCCCATTGGGTAGGTGTGGACAATTGGGTGGGTGTGGCCCATTGGGTGGGTGTGGCTGCGGTGGTCGGCAGACTGGGTGGGACTAAAAAGTTCAATCAATCAATTCCAACTTTGCAAGATTTTTTTTTCCCCATGAGAAGTTGAAATTGACTGATTGATTGAACCTTTTTTTTTTGTACATGGCGGCAGAGGCCTAAAGCGAAAAGATTTTATAAAACCCAGCTGAAGGCCTAGGACTGGGGCGACGGCACACATGCCCACAGAGAGGGCTCTGAGTGCCGCCTCTGGCACCCGTGCCATAGGTTGGCCACCACTGCCCTATACCATTTCAGACAAATGATTATCCAGTCTCTTCTTAAAAACTTCCAGTGTTGGAGCATTCACCGCTTCTGGAGGCAAGTAGTTCCACTGATTAATTGTTCTGTCAGGAAGTTTCTCCTCAGTTCTAGGTTGCTTCTCTCCTTGATTAGTTTCCATCCGTTGCTTCTTGTCCTGCCTTCCGGCGCTTTGGAGAATAGCTTGACTCCCTTTTCTTTGGGGCAGCCCCTGAGATATTTTTGATGATGAGGAGGATAAAACTGAGGATATTATCCATACTCTTGGCGATTCTGTGGGTCAGGTATCTCTCCACATCTTGCGATCTTGCACTACTTCTGTGAGCTGTTCTATGCTCTGACTGGTGTCAACTTTGGTGGGGTCCGGCCAGCCTGGTTGTTGATGGCCTGGCTTTCCTTTTACCGCTAACTCTTCCAACACAATTGCTTTCTCCAGCGAGTTTTCTCTTGCAGGTCTTCAAATGTGACCCTTCGTTTGCCCCAAATACTCAGAAATCAAATCAAGGTTGAAAGGAACAAGCCCCACCTCTTTGTTTTCTGCTCTCTTCCTTGATATCTGGGTGGAGTNATAAACCCCGATAAAAGCCGAATTAAAACCAAATATTACCAGCTGTGTTTCCAATTAAAATACTTTTAAAATTATCCCTACCTAAAATCCTCCCTAGGTCAGGCCCGCTTGCTGGAAAAACCATGTCTTGAGGGCGCGGCGGAAAGTAAGGAGATCCGGAATCATCCGGATCTCGGGGGGTAGTTCATTCCAGAGGGTGTTACCGACTTAGCCAATGCAACAATTCACTTAATGACTGCGGCAAGAAAGGTCATAAAATGGGGGCAAAGCTCACTTAGCAAATGTTTCACCTAGCAACATATATTTTTGGGCTCAATTGTGGTCATAACGTGAGGACTTTACCTGTACAAAGGTTGTACACTTCAGAGATGCTAGAGACGCAAAGCCCAGCCTGCCTATATGACATCCCTGCAATAACTTGATTTTTTTTTCCTTTTCTCCTTCAGCTGGTGCATATTATCCTGCGCAGAACGTGCAACAATTCCCAACTTCTCAAGTCATGATGAACCCACAGCCACCGATCCCGCCAAAGCGAGAGCGCAAGACAGTAAGAAACGGGGGGCAGGCAGCTGGGGTGGGAGGGGAAATAATAAAATTTCCATTATTTAGGCCAGGGGTCTTCAAACTTGGCAACTTTAAGACTTGTGGACTTCAACTCCCAGAATTCCTCAGCCACCCCTCAGGGCTGGCTGAGGAATTCTGGGAGTTGAAGTCCACAAGTCTTAAAGTTGCCAAGTTTGAAGACCCCTGATTTAGGCCTTTGTTGAGTTGGTTGGTTTTTTTCACCTGTCTCACATTCCCTACCTTTTACCTTTACCTTCCATCGCTTCCTGGTGTTCATTTTGTTTTATTTACACGATTTATGCCCTGCTTTTAAAACAAATACTGTATCGAAAGTTTAAAATACTGGTTGAGATTGACAACAAAATCAATACTGAACGAGATAAAATGAACTCTGGTTGCCAAGATCCTAAAAATGTCAGGCAGTTGTTTAAAATTCAGTTATTTCGATATTTGTATCAAATTTATCTGTCTATATACATTCAGGTTCTAGTGTTTGTGATTCAAAGCTTTAAAACAAGAGGGCATAAGAATATCAGCACCGATAATCCTTGACTTAAAAGAGTTCGTTTAGTGACTGTTCAAAGTTACAACGGTAGTGGAAAAAAGTGATTTACAGCCCCTTTTCACGCTTACCGGCTGTTACAGTCTTCCCGTGGTCACCTGGTCGAAATTCAGATGTGTGGCAACCGACTCGTACTTACGACGGTCGCCGTGTCCCTGGGCCACTTGAACCGCTTTTGCGAGCTTCTGACAAGCAAAGTCAACAGGGAAGCGAGATTCACGTAACAACTGCGTGGCTAGCTTAACAGCTGCAGTGATTCACAAACTGTGGCAAGCAAGGTCGTAAAACGGGGCAAAACTCCCTTAACACATGTCCCACTTAGCCACAGAAATGTTGGGCTCAATTGTGGTCGTAGGTTGAGGATTACCTGCACTAAGGTTTATATTTAACTTTGTTAGCTCAAGGTGGTTTAATTGAGATTCTGCCTTTATTATCACACAGCTATCCAATAAAGGTAAGTGGGTCTGGGAGAAAGTGATACATTCAGAGGTACCTAGGCAGATGGATGTACTATGCAGTTGGATGTTGTTGTTGCGAAGTCGTGTCCCATGGACAACGTTCCTCCAGGCCTTCCTGTCCTCTACCATCTTCTGGAGTCCATTTAAGCTCACGCCTACTGCTTCAGTGACTCCATCTAGCCACCTCATTCTCTGTCATTGTCCCCTTCTTCTCTTGCCCTCCATCTTTCCCAGCATGAGGCTCTTCTCCAGTGAGTCCTTCCTTCTCATTAGGTGGCCAAAGGACTTGAGTTTCAACTTCAGGATCTGGCCTTCTAAAGAGCAGTCGGGGTTGATCTCCTCTAGGACTGACCGGTTTGAATGCCTTGCAGTCCAGGGGACTCGCAGGGGTCTTCTCCAGCACCAGAGTTCAAAGGCCTCCATTCTTTGGCGCTCAGCCTTTCTAATGGTCACAGTAATTGCGTATCCAATACATTTGTTGGAAGCCCATGCAAAACTTACCTCTTCATTTTCAAGCCAGCCACAGCCTCGACTTCAGAACTGCTTTTGTAAAAAAAAATAATGATCCTGGGATCAATATCATATAGCGGTTTCTATTGGAATTTGATGAATTGGATGCTCTAAAAACAACCTACTGAGCCAATCACCAGGAGACTGATTTTTACTCCCGCCATAGGCATGAGTGACTTTGGGCCAATTACTGGGAGACTGTGAATTCTAGTTCTGCCCTAGGCATGAAAGCTAGCTGGGTGATTTTGGGCCAGTCACCATGAGACTGTGAGTTCTAGTCTGCCTTAGGTATGAAAACCACTGTGTGACTTTGGGCCAATCACCAGGAGACTGAGTTCTAGTTCCACCTTAGACATGAAAGCTGGCTGAGTGACTTCAGAGCAATCACCAGGAGACTGTGAGTTCTAGTCCCACCTTAGGCATGAAAGCCGGCTGGGTGACTTCAGAGCAATCACCAGGAGACTGTGAGTTCTAGTCCCACCTTAGGCATGAAAGCTGGCTGAGTGACTTCAGAGCAATCACCAGGAGACTGTGAGTTCTAGTCCCACCTTA